TCCGATCTCCCCAAAACCCCAAAACCCCGCTTTCCAGGATTTTATAGAATATCTAATTTTAATGAAATAAAATAAATATATGCTATATTGAATTTAATTATTGCTAGAAAATGTAAGAACCTTAATTCTAAATCGAGCTAAAAGAAAACATCTCTTTAAGCAAATCGATAAGGAAAATGAGTACCTTAGGTGTAGTTTCCTTGAATTCATAGTTAAACTAACAAGAAATAAAGCCAAAACCCAATAAAAATTCAAGAAATTCAGTTTAACCATAGAATAAATCAGTTTAATACAACAGAGGTCTTCAAGTAAGTTTATCCTTTTTACATTGGCATTTTATTGTTTTGACGCAATTTATATTTAACTCCTCTTTTCACAGTAGTGAAATTTCTTTACTCTTAGGTAGATGGACTGAGATTATTCTTTAAGGGATAGAAAGCAATGACTAAATACCCACCTTTCCTTGATGACTGTCCAAAAATAGACTTTGATATTTCTACTCATTCACCCCCTAATCAATCAGCATCCCCAAGCAGACAACCATATTGGTAACTCATCTCTTGTTTAATTAACGTAATAGGAATATGGTTGCAAAAAGAGTGATGAGTCCATTTAAGGAATTTATCAAGTATGCGAAGAGGCATAACAATATACCTGATATAGATCCTAATGCACTTTAAGAACCTGAAATACAAAAAGAAGCAACGAGTAAGCCTAGAGAAACCCAGAAGTTACAAAAGGGTTTTAGAAAGAATAAAGCTTCCAATAAAATGAGATAGCAGTACTCCTCTTCTAAGATGATTTAACACTCCTAAATGCACATGAGGTAGGGGCCAACTGTTTAGTTTGCAATGGATTAGATTAAGTCATCCTCTAATATAAATTCACTTGCGTTGAGTAAAAATGAAAGTCAATTAAAAGACTCATTACAATCAATTAAGCAAGTAAACATTCAAACACATCCAATGTAGACATAGTTTTCGTCTTGCACTATTGATAGTGAGTCTAAGTAAAGTTATTAGTATCTACCTACTGTCAAGGAGGTTAATAATGATCCTAATGGCTTTTAATTGAGTTAGAGTGGGAATAATCTCATTAAACGAATTGAAGCAGCAGTCAAGTTTAGAGTACTTCAATCAATTGAGAAGTATAAGTTAAAACAACTTTTTAATAGTCCAAAAAAATAATCGGAGCCAACAAGTTGTGGAGGACCTGGTGCCTTCGACTTTAATATTGGTTTAAAATAGCTTCAAAGTTCATAGGCAGTTGACAAAGATAAGTTTGATTTGAAAGAATTTATTCACAAATTCTAAAAGATTTAGGCTAAAAGTTCTAAGTAATCATCTCCCTAGAGTAGGAAAAGTAATAGTAATAATAAGCATATTGCATCATTTACTATGAATAAAGAATCCTCAAAGAAAGAATTTAAGCAGTAGCTAATGCGCAAAAATATGAATCTCTCAGTTTTAAATGAAAATTCTCAATAAATAAGAAATTCTCAAAAAAAATTCGATAAGGGGCCTCTATTACTAAGACTATATCAGAATGAAATTGCTAGTATTAAGTCAAGACCTAATAGACTTACACGAATAGAAGAAAATTTAGATCGAAAGTTATAAAAGATGTCGAGGGACTAGAATCACATTAGCGCAGAGTACAATAGCTATCTAAATACAACATAGGATAAAACAAATATAACTCCGTTTTCTAGGCATGGCATATCTACATCAAAGCATTAAAGATCAGTCCTAAAGAATACAAGCAAGCAAAATATTTTTGAAACGACAGATTAAATTATAAAACCTAAATCAGCTGGAGGGAATTTTGGATTCAATATTGCAAGGAACAGGCATTTGAATTAGAGTTTTGACGGTTATTCTAAGATAACATTATTGAATTAGTAACTAGTTGATAGATCAATTAACAAGATTTACAATACTCAACCATTAAATAATATAACATTGAATTAGCCATCTCAAAACTAAACATAGACATTTACTATCAACAAAAACTAAGTCTCATAAGGGTTACTAAATTAAAATGTAATGAGTTTAAAAAATCATTCCCTAATCTAGCATCAAAAGTTGACTACTTAGTCAGAAAAGCTAAATGCAATAAACTAATTCGCCAATTCATAGTTACAGACGCTTTTATTTCAAAAGCGTTTGAATCTCTAATTAGAGGATGAGGTTAATAAAAAGGGTAAGAGTGTGGTTGATCATATATTCGAAGTAAAAAAGCTCAAAGATATTTATCTCAAAAACAGATCTATGAAGCGCTATCTCTAAAGAGGCACACTTGAGAATGCTAAGAATAATTACATTAACATGCAAATTTATTTGGAATAGAGTAGGAGTAGGACTTAAGCCAGAACAAGTCAATAAAAATTGCATCAAATATTAGATAGAAATGATTCAACCAATAATCGTTCAGAAATATATATAGTTGAAAAATCAGTTTACGATGGTTCCACTAATCTAGAAACCTACAAGCAACTTTGATATTTTATGAGACAGTCCATATCGCTTCGATTTAATTTCTGAATAAGTGACTATAGATCTTAAATTAAACTGATGATTAATTATAAAATATTAAAATTTAAATTATGGAAACTTAATCAGCGCCATCTCTAGTCTTAACAAGTGATATTCCAGGTAGAGGAGGAGCTTCACTTACTCATATATCTACTAATGAGAATGAGATATAGATTTTGCTTGCATGTGGTGCCTCAAGAGAGCAAGCTTTCGATGATTTTTGGGTCATTAACATTGATCGAAAGACGTATACTGCCTAAAATTGTTCAAGGCTAAAGATGAAGGAGAGTGATGGATTTTTACCTAGAAATTCAATGGCTGGTGTCTATGACTAGGAGCGTGATAGAGTAGTTTTCTTTGGAGGTCAGGATCCTGACAATGAGCACAATGATCTTTATGTGCTGGATTTGAAGACTCCTGAACTTAAGCACATTGATTATTTAGATGGACATATCGCACCTCCTCCAAGAAATTCTCATACCTTGACTTTGTCTAGTGATGGAAAAAGTGCATATCTCTTTGGAGGTGCAAACTCAGGTGGCCCCTTAAAAGATCTCTACAAGTTAGACCTTGAATCCCTAAGATTCAAATAGCTTAAGATTATTGACTCAGAGTGTCCCTTACCACAAGCTGAAATGCATACATGCTAATTATTGAATGATAATCAACTTTTAGTGCTTGGTGGAAGAGGCATATTTGCTGGTTAAACTTTGGAATAGACAGCATGTCAAAACTCAATACTATCCATAGATTTATCTGAGGGCGAGAATCAAGGCAAAGTATCTAATTTTGGAGCACTGCCAGCAGATCTCTGCTGTCATGTATCTGCTCTTGTAGATAATGAGTTTCTTATACTTTATGGTGGTACTAACGGCCTTAGATTCTTCGATTCTGTATTAAGATATAGCATAAAAGACAAGAAATGGACACTAATGACTAAGATTCCACCATCCTGCAAGTCTTCTAGATTCTTCTAAGATGGTAGAATATCAAGCGCATCTGTTTAGGTAGCAGGAGAATGTATTGTTATCTTTGGAGGTAGCAGCATTGAAAATGATTGTAATGACTTCTTGATACTGCCCATTGCGCACTTAAGAGAGGATGCTAACTTTAGTGAGATTAATGAAATTATGTGAATTGTGTTGATTTAATTTAAATGGCCATCAAATTTATACCAATCTTAAATTTTTATACTCTTGGGGTTTTGGGGTTTTGGGGAGATCGGAAGAGCGTCGTG